TTTATTTTATTTTATTTTATTTTATTTTTTTGCAGCTACAAGACTGCCTGTTAATAGAACCAGGCATCGTTTTGTTGTATAGGAATGTAGCCATTATCTTTAGTAATACCCCAATTCCTAGTTCCTCGAGTCAGTTCTTGGGAATTTTGCCCAGTGATAATGGGTCTCTGTGAGATATGTGGTTCCTATTAAGCAGTTTTATAATCTTAATTTCTGGCCATTTTGTTTTTACGGCTAAGAAAATCAGCTCTAGAGATAACTTTGTGGCTCCAGTTGTTAGGTGATTTGCCTTGTGAATTTCTATTTCACTTTAGTTCCCAAAACTTCCAGCAGTTCTTCTGAAGAGGTTGGGAGGCAAACTTCAGTTTTCTGGGTGAAGTGTCTAACAGCCTGTTTTATATTTACACATATTTGGAGTGTGGGGCCACGCTGGAGCTCTTGCATTTCTGGAAAGACTTTGGCCCTTCCATCTTTTGTTCCTGTGTCTGCCACGTGTGTTACTTCCAGAACCATTTTCATAGTTCCTGCATTACAACGAGCACCCTTGGAGCAGGCTGCAGGCAGTCAGCTATCAACTGTTGACAGTAGAGGCCCTTGATATCTGTCTGCTCACCTGTCTCGTCAAGCAGCAAGCAAAGATATACAATACTTTTTTTCTGGGATTTTCCAGCTGTTAATACATATATTTTGTAGCATATAAGCAGCAAAGCCATATTTAAGAAGTGCTGGGCCTGCTTGTATGCTGTTCAGGTGACCTGTCTATGTGCTGAAAGACCAAGATATGTTCAGTTTGCATTGGTGTGGCTGTGAAGAGCAGATCACCTGAGCGAATTGAATAAGTACTTCGGATGTATGGGATCTTGGCCTCATGTGTGGGTTTATCTGTGCTAATTTTAGTTATTTTGTCTGAAGTCTAGAAATTTGGATATTATGCTTAGATTTTTCACATTCTGCTTGGAAAGCAGTGCTGGGTTTCTCAGGTGGGGAGCAAAAAGATGCTTTGGGGAAACTTGACATGATAGATTCAGCGAATCCTTTGGTACTTTGTGAGTGGCTTGACTGATGTATACTGCACATCTAGGTTAATATTACCAACTTTTTAGACATCTGGAAGTCAGAGCCCAGGTTTGCTCTACAGTAAATGCTGGGGGGGGGGGGGGGGCTGAAAAAGGAAGGTGGGGGGGGGGGGGCGGGGAGAGTGGGAAACCCCAGATGTTTTTCCTTCATAAATGTTTATGTTAGTATAAACTAACTGTTTATACTAGTTAGTATAAACTAACTAGTTAGTATCACTGTCTGGAGTTTCCACTAGAGGGGAAATGTAGGTGCCTACCCTCGATTTATATCTAAACCTAGTTGAAATAAATTTCCAATTTTAGTGGTTGTTGGCAGATGTGTTCATAATCTACTGGCGTGTGTGAGAACCCACTTGATTGCTCAAGTTTGTAGGATGTTTAACTGTAACTGATTTCTTTGGATAGCCTGAGTTTCCAGAGCTTGGTTTTCGCCAGGAGTCTTCTGTGGTACAAGCGCCGAGTGCTGTTCCCTCTCAGGGCATTGTTTTCAATAGTTGGGTTGTTCTGTGTGTCTTATTTCTTGTGCTTTTTATCCTTTCTGCCAGCTGGTTAGGTTTATACTCAACCTTCCCCTTTTATCTAGGCTTGAAACTAGACATACTGCCCAAGTACAGGTGGAGAAATAATGTCATTGAAATAATGGGCTAACATGCAGCTGGACAGGTTACTTCATCAAAATAATTACCTGTCCTCTTCACTGAGTCATTGCAGATTCTCAGTTTTCAGGATCAGATGTGACTGGATAAATTACCCTTTGGTTTTACTGCAGAATATTATAACAAACAAAAGTCAGGTTTTGTTTTGGTTTTGTTAAAAAAAAAAAGATTTTACATGTGTTAGTATATTAAAATTCAGACTCACATAGGAATCTTATTTGTCATCCGGGATTTTTGCCTAAGAAGATCTAGAATGGGACTTTTAGTTTAGTTTAAATCTAGTCTTGTCTTTGTATTCAGAAAAGTCGTGCATATAGCCATAAAGTGACCTGCTGGTGTGCAGTTCCCACAAATATAAAATGTGGTATTACCAGTTTAGAAGTAATACCTAGTTGATGCTGTAATATCCAGTCTACTCAAGCAGTATCTATTGCTCTCATTCTTTTTGGCTAAAAAAGATATTTCTCAGTTTATTCTAGAATTGCTTGACAATGATATAGAGCTCTTCTGGTGGTACAGTACTTATTTAGGGAAAAGATCATAATACAGTCAGAATTAAGTGCGTATTTAAAATACATGCTTCTTAGAGCCAAGCCAGGCTTTTATTAAAGATATCTGTAAAGAGTCTGTGGCTCCCTTTGGAAATTTGAAAACTTCAGAATCTTTCAGGAGCACGGTCCACTTTACCCTGTGACACAACTATAAATCATTGGAAAAGTGGGCTTTTTGCCACAAAAGCATAGATTTATTCTTCAAACGGTGACTAAAATCTCATAACTTTTATTGCAAATGATGTATGAAACATAATCAAAAATATGGTGTATGATCTATATTGGCAATAAATATTTTGTTACTGGCAATAGGCTTCAAACGATCTTAGAATCTTTAATCGTAACAAGTAACCTTAAGCATAAAAGATGAAATGCAGAGCACTTTTACAAGAATCCTCATTGTTTTAATTGAAATGACAAATTACAATCCTAATTCTGCACAAACTTGTGTTGTATTTGTATTTTTACACTGTGATTAGCTTCAGGGAATTTCTCGGAATTTGTTTTCTCTGTGTGAAGTTTAGCATCTTGGTAGGCTTTGTGTGGTTGAAGTCCATATAAATTTTTAGCCTCTCAGATTTTCTGAAGCATCTTTTCTAGTTTAAGTGGTGCACAAGTGCCTATTTGGCGTGAGGGGAGATGATGTCAGAATATATGTTTAAGAAAATAGTATTTAGCTGTGTAGTCTTTAGCATTGTGTTGGTATTTGTGGTATAGTCATAATAATGAATATATTTTGTGTTCCATGTGTTCCATATTACATTTATCATAACTCAAAGTCTTGATGTAGGCTTTATGTAGGATAAACAAAGACTTGAAGGATAATATTCACATTCCCACCTCAAACCCTTTCCCTACCCCAGTATTAGTCTTGCAGGAATAATGCTTTTTCCAGGTTCACCTGAAAATTAGAGAGGAGAGTCTTGGAGCTTAGAATTTTTTGGTTTGGTTTCATGACATTTCTCCCTCCCCTTTCCCCTTTAGAAGTTAAAGTCTACATGTGGATGGTGAATTAGTCAAAAATATTATTTAAGGACCATAAAATTGTGGTGATAGACTTAAGTAGTCTAAGTGTCAAATGTTTTAAAGGAAAATAGGAAAAAATAAACCGGATGCTGTTCAACAGTTCTATTAGTGTGTTTTCAGACTGAGCCCTTGCTGCTCAGTTGTCATCCTGCCACTGTGTACAATTTTGCCTTTATACATAACTAATTAAAAAAGTGAGTTCTGTGCGAGCTAGATTTTGGCTAAAACCTATAGTAAAAAAAAAAACCAAACAACCCAGCAAGTAAATATTTATTTGTTACCCTTGCTTTCCTTGTGTCTTAGTCGTACTGGTCTAATCGTCACTCTTTAAGGTACTTAGTTAAGTTGATCAGCTGAGCTTGAATGTAATTTAATAAAACATTTTTCTGTTCAGTATGTTCCTGTGGAGGCTTTAGTTTAAACACAGCATGTTATAGATATGCTGAAGTCAAGCGAGTTTATACCTTTTTTTTTAAACACTTTATGTATTCTGCCTACTTAACTAAAATTATCTAGATTTAACCTATTTTGTTTGACAGCAGTGGTTTACAGTTTGTATAACTGATAACTTTCTGTAAAGCATTAGATGCTCTTAGGAACAGTTTTTTTACTTAAATGCTAAGTATCAAACGCCTCTCTCTCTCTTTTTTTAAAGGCATCACTGCTGCGGAGGTTTCAGAGTACATTAGTCATAGCGGAACACAACAATGAGACTCTTACACCCATTACACTAAATACTATCACTGCGGCAAAACGTCTTGGAGGTGAAGTTTCTTGTCTAGTAGCTGGTACCAGCTGTGACAAGGTAGGAAATGCTATTTTCGTATAAGCGAAATCATGAATGCAGTGAAACAGTACTTGGTAGCGTCTTGGTCAGCCTGAAAAATATTCTGTAGTGAACTGTGCCAGGAATTGCTAATCTGCCGGAAACTTCCTGCACTTGAAGTGCTTCTCTTCTGAAGTGAAAATATGGTTATAGATTTCATTTCACAAGGGAGAATATCAATATCAGTTGTTACAAGCTTAAGCAAGCAAATTTTTACAGGACTAAAGAACAATTAACTTTTAAAACAATATTTCCCTGTGAAGGTTGAAAGACAAATATTGCAGTGCTAAGAACTCGGAAGGAAGCTTGTACTTGGTCAAACAGAAACCAGCAGAAGTGAAAGAGCACAGTGACAAAGAGGACATCTGAGCATCTTGCCTTTACTAGTCAACTACTAGTAGCATAGCGAGAGTGTGTTTGCAACCTAAAATTCTGAAATTAGTGCTTCTTGACTGTTATATAGCTCATGTCTAAAAAAAGTTTCTTGTTGTATTGTCAGTCTAATTTTTATGTGCAAAACCTAGAGACAATATAGGTAGTACATTAGTGACACTTTTATTCCAGCATGATGTACTCTTGTGTGAACAGTAAAAGTACAAATAATTATGCCTCGTACTTTTCAAACTGGGCTATTGTTTATGAATTGTTATTCTGAAAGCAATATGTGATATCTCTTGTGGGAGCCATACTTATGCCAACTAAGTCACAAATAGGTGGAGAAACCTCACTGACTAATGAAGACTTGAGACCCAGGTGTTCAAGGTGGAGACCTGGAAGCAAATATTTATCTACATCAAGAAAATGCTTTGACACTTCCATAGTAGAAAAATGATTGGGAACGTTTTGGTTTTTTTTTTAATACTAAGTATGTGGCATCTATCTGGCAATCTGTGTCACGCTGGGGAAAAGTACTTTACAGAAAATGGAGGTTTGGGGTTTTTTTTTAAGCTTCTGCCTAAGAATCTGTATTGATAGGACAAAAGAGCCAGTTACTCAAACAGATATTCTGTAGCAGCTATTACGGGATTTTTGTTTATTTCCTCTTGTTAATTTTTGAGGGTAAATTGATACTCAAGCAAACTCAGTAAAACTACGCTAGTTCTGAGACGATGCATGTGGTCTCCAGACACTGCTGTCAGTCCTCTTCTCTCTGATCTGCAACAACCCTTTTATCATTTAAACTTCACTTCTGCAAATTTAAAGGAAAAAAATGCATAAATATAGAATTGAAAATATACATCACATCAGTAGGCAGAGTCAGCTGCAAACAAAGGCTCACTCCTAAAATCGGACAAAGATCATAATAACATTGCTGCACATTTGTGTTTGCATTGTATGCTTGTGCGCTAGATATTGACCGATTTAAAATAAAGTAGGATTGGTTTCTTGATGATTATATCAGAATAGTGAGCAATAATCCTCAAGTGTGATGGTTATCGGCTGTTGTAATAAATCATGAGATCATTGTGTAATCCTGCATACAGGAGGTGAGCTTTCCTATGTTTGATTTGCTTTCTAGTTTTCTTACTCACAAAATTAATTTTCATTATTCCATAAGGCACTATGCTGTGAGTCAGACGATCTGCATTTTGTTCCATCAGGTTCGTTCTGATTTGGAAATTCACATACTTGTGAGTTCTAGTTTTAACTAATCTATAGGCTGTGAGCTCTTTGCAACCAGGACACTCTCTTGTTATGTGTTTGTGGTGCCTGTTATAATGCAAACTAATAATAATTCATTTGTAATCATAGGTAGCACAAGAACTCAGCAAAGTGCAGGGTGTTGCAAAAGTACTAGTGGCTCAACACGATGTATACAAGGGATTTCTGGCAGGTGAGAGTTGTTCTTACCTATTGACAAAAGAAATGGTATTTAATTTGCGATTGAAGAGAAGGTGTAAATTTTGAGCAATATATTTTTTTTCCCTCAGAGGAGCTGACTCCCTTGATTTTGGAAACTCATAAAAAATTTAATTACACCCACATTTGTGCTGGAGCATCTGCCTTTGGGAAGGTAAGTACACCAAAGTGCATCAAAAATTTCTTGTAGAAAAGAGACAGAGATGCCGTTGTATATAAGAGCGTGAATCAAATGCCTGTGAGGTCAGCCATGGACAGTTTGGAGTTTTCAATAAATGTTACAGTAGTTCGCCTAAGAGATCGTTAGTTAGAAACGCTGATTCACGTTTGAGTTTTATGACGGGCTGACTTGGACAAAGGAACAGTGTAGAAGAAGTATTTAGTGGTGACCAGCTAGTTCTATGTACACAAGGCAAAATGTATAGTAACACAAAATAGGTTAAGTAATCTGAAAGCACTATGAAGATTGTAAGGAAAAACACAGTAAATCGAGATGAAAAATGTTTTATTTGCATGTTGAAATGAAAGTGTGCAGACCTATTGGAAGCAAATTTGTTATGGGGGCAGGGGGGGAATTGCATCTATGATGGAAGTCGTGTAAATTGAAATGTCTGTAAATGCATATAAATAACACAGATCCAAGCCCTAGCCGAGATGTTTTTTAACAAAAATACAATTTTTCAAAACTTGTTTTTTAAGGGGAGTGTTTTTATGTATGCGGAGAGACTCAGTTCTAACAATCTAGTGAAGGTTGTGGTGCAGCTAAATTAAAGAAATAGGATACTTCAGAAATCTTGCCGATGCGGGATGAATGATGACATCAGCCTTCCAGCTGACTACTTTCACTTCCAATCAATATCAATCCATATACTTGTAATTTTGCTAAGAGAAATCTTTACATGTCTTAAGTCTTAGTGGATTTTTTTTTAATTTTTATTTTTGATCTGCAATGTCTTAGTAAAGGTTAATAGCTTTTGCTTTAAAGCTTATGCTTCCATTTTTGAGTGCTTAATGTGAACAACAATTTCAGAACTCGGCCTTTTGTGTTGTACAAGATTAGGAGGGGGACAAAAAGCAAGCAAAGCTCCTGCTATTATTAATTTCTTCCTGATTTATGTTGCTCTTTTTATCCTCCTTCCTATTCCTAAAGTTGCTAAGTAATTTTTTAGAGTCAGTTTCAGAGTAGGAGAATATATATTTTAATATTAATTTT